CCCTTTTTTGTTTGTTTCATTGATTGAAATGGTAAATGAAAAATTCTGGCTTTCTTAAGCTACAAAGATATGACTCGTTTGTAATAGTAACAACCAATTCTAGCATTACAACATATTACTATTCAGTCTTGTTTTCGTCTAAGAAAAAAATAAATGTACTCGAACATATCAGCTGATTTTAAAGTGCTTTTAACTACGGTGGGAAACATTGAGTGCTTTTCGTGCTGTAGAAGGAACAATGATAACATCAGTAAACATCATAGCCAGATTGATCCAGTCCGACTACAGTGCCGTCACAGATGAAACATTACAATATTTATTCATGCACGGTGTAGAATAACGACAATAAGAACTGTTGTTGTTGTTTCATAAAACGTGTGTGTCGTTTACGGAGGATTACAATTTGTAATGAAATATTTCGATAAGTAAGCATCTAATTATTTGTTTGAGAATTTAGTGGAGAGCTGCAAGACTACTATTAGCGCTAGTCATTCCTGATTTTAAAGTGCATGACTAGATGTAAAGCAGCTTGTCAACAACACCCAGAACCAACTCTTGTGATACTCTGGTCTGATCAACAGTAACATTTCATTGTCACTCTTATAGAATACTTGTGGGTCGAGAAACATTCTCGGCCTCTCGGCCAAAAAATATTCATTTTTTTTGTGAATTTTGACTTTTCTGTGTGAATCAACATGAATATAAAATATAATATTTTTGAGAAGCAAGCAACCACTGGGCAAATACCCCCTTGTGTAGCACTGGCGCAGATACCCCCTTATGTAGCTCTTCACTTAAACACACAAAAAAATCGTATTTACAAATTTAAGAAGTGTTGTTTTTGTACTAACTACAATCGCTTTTGTGAAATTTAGAAAAGTGGGTCTCGGATGCGTTGTTGATTCTTCGAGGTAAAATGTATGAAAACATTTGTTGCTTCGAGGTAAAGATGTGAAAATATTTGTTACTTCGAGGCAAAAGGTGTGAAAATATTTGTTACTTCGAGGTAAAAGGTGGGAAAATATTTGTTACTTCGAGGTAAAATGTGTGAAAATATTTGTTACTTCGAGGTAAAATGTGTGAAAGGATTTGTTACTTTGAGGTAAAAGATATGGAAGTGTTTGTTGCGTAGAGGTAAAGGTGTGAAAGGATTTGTTACTTCGAGGTAAAAAGTGTGAAAATATTTGTTACTTCGAAGTAAAAAGTGTGAAAGTGTTTATTGCTTCTAGGTAAAATATATGAAATAAGTTGTTAATTAAAAGTAAAACTGGAGATAGAGATTGATGTAAGGAGAGCAAACCACTTCTTCCCCGTAGTCCGTAGAAGCTCTAAACGGTTCTGGTTGTGTTTGAACCAGAGGTCTCTGACCGTATCGTTTAGCTGATACCTTAAGTTTCGTTCAGGTTGAACTTGCCAGTTATTAAACTACTACAAGTGATTAGATACATATGGCACAGTTTTTAGGTAGTTTTTTGTCTTTAGTACTTGCCCTGTTTCATACCCTAAAACGATTGTTGTATTGTTAGCAATACCACTGCTAATAATTTAGACTACATTTATCCAATTACGGGTCCCCCGTAAGAAGAAAATACAAGAATGTTTCAGCTGTGCCTTGTTTCTTGAACCCCTCTATTAACGAGGTTAATCAGGCCAGCTGAGTCACAACACGTCATTCGTCGGAAGTGTAACAAGGCTTAAGCGTTCTACACTCTAAGCCTTTTACAGTAATTTACGAACATCTGAAGTTTAGATTATGTTTACCACAAATTATAGGCGCATTGATGTCTTTCATGTTAATGTTTCTCAGACACGTCTTAGGTTGTTTTATAAGTTACACAGGCTGTTATATTAATGCCATTTTTTATGTTTCATAAGTTACACAGACTATTATAGTAATGTAATTTTTTATGCTTGTCACTTTAGTGCATTAATTACGTGGTCTGTTTTTTTTTTTTTTTTTGTATTAAATAATTATTTGGCTGTGTTTGCTAAGCATTTTCTATGTTAATGTGGTTTTCCCGTTATAAATTTGTAAAATATGTTCAAAGTATGTTTTCGTACACATACTTTAACCATTATTTGGCGAAATCCTGGACGTCTGTCACCAAATCTAACATATACCATTATGTCCCTCCTGGCGAGTGACATAGGAGGGTTTGGATTTGACAACCTTATGTCACATTTCTAGGCCCTCATATCGTCTTTTTCACTCATTGAGCGGGTGCGTCAAAAATAAAATTAGAAGCGACTTGGAACCAGTTTTATAGACCCAAAAGATGTTTTAGAGAAGATTAGACTTTTTTCCTACAATAAACATATAAAATATGATCAGTATTGACCTGTGAATTATTATTATTATAAACATTTAAAAAGTTTAGAAACGACTTCCGTCCAGTTAAGAAGACGTAAAAACAACAACCTGTATGCTGATATAAATGCATAAAATTTTTTAAATGTCTTGCTGAAAAACCTAATATATGTTTAATAAACGACCTTTGCCCTCATGTAAACACGAAATGTTTTTAAAAGATACTTGTTTCTCGACATAAATATGTTTAAAAAAACTACGGACTCCTATTGTATGTCTGTGCAGAAAATATGCTTAGCACACTTGTTTTCATACAAACAAATTCATTCTAAAAACCTACCTCTACCCCGAAAATAATCTCATAAGATATTCCAAGAAAACTACCTTTCCTCTGGTATAATACCAAGTGTTTTGGATACTGTAATATTCCAAGAAAACTACCTCTCTTCTGTTATAATGCCAAGTGTTTTGGATACTGTAATATTCCATGAAAACTACCTTTCTTCTGGTATAATATCAAGTGTTTTGGATACTGTAGTATTCCAAGAAAACTACCTCTCTTCTGGTATAATATCAAGTGTTTTGGATACTGTAATATTCCAAGAAAACTACTTCTCTTCTGGTATAATATCAAGTGTTTTGGATACTGTAATATTCCAAGAAAACTACCTCTCTTCTGGTATAATACCAAGTGTTTTGGATACTGTAATATTCCAAGAAAACTACCTCTCTTCTGTTATAATACCAAGTGTTTTGGATACTGTATTATCCCAAGAAAACTACCTCTCTTCTGGTATAATACCAAGTGTTTTGGATACTTTAATATTCCAAGAAAACTATTTCTCTTCTGGTATAATACCAAGTGTTTTGGATACTTTAATATTCCAAGAAAACTACCTCTCTTCTGTTATAATACCAAGTGTTTTGGATACTGTAATATTCCAAGAAAACTACCTCTCTTCTGGTATAATACCAAGTGTTTTGGATACTGTAATATCCCAAGAAAACTACTTCTCTTCTGGTATAATATCAAGTGTTTTGGATACTGTAATATTGAGTGTTTGGCTGTACGATTTAATTATTCTTTTTTCTACGGGAGAATTTCAAAAGCTTGATGTACTTAATGTTGCTTAACGTTACCGTAAGATGCATGAGATGAAAATGCATAGGTTCGGTAACCATAACAACAACAGCTTCCTTCTCCCAGGAGAGTCTTAGTTACATGCAGCCAGATCAACAGGTTGGTGTCGCACATTAAACAATTGCTACTGTGGTTGCTATGACAACTCATACTTTAGTCATCATTTCCGATCCCACATCAACGTTGACACAGCACGAGTTCTTGAAAGCTGTGTCGGTTGCTGATAGCTAAACTGAAGAAAATTATGACTTTTAGCTTCTTCTTCTTTCATCATTTTCACATTCCCTTAAAACCTGGAAACAGCTGCGTCTGAAATAAGTAAGAATTTCATTTCTCTATGTATACTTCTATAAAGTGATTTCTAAGACGCATATTTAGATTTAATTTTTAGCTGTCAGAGTTCTCCAGAAAATCATCCCGAATCCCCCACATCTGTTTTCAGTAAAAAAAAAATTAAGGTGTTATCTCTAAAACTTTGAGTTTTCACGAACTGCCTCTAAACTATCAACGTTTACATCTATTATTAAGAACCTTTACGACACTTTGCTGACGACCTAAGACCGAAAAAAGATTCGTCACCTCGTTTAATTGTTCTTTTTTTATTATTTTTGTGATATGCCCCTTGGTGACTCAGCGGTAAAACTGAGGCTTATAAACATTGAAAATCGCGTTCCGATACACGCGGAGGCATAGCAAATATCAAGTGTTTTGGATACTGTAATATTGAGTGATCGGCTGTACGATTTAATGATTCTTTTTTCTACGGGAGAAAATTTTGAGCTCACTAACAAACTATTGCGATACACACTGTAAATTTTAAAGACGAATTTTCCTAAAACAGAAATTGCAATTTGATAAATCAAGTTTAAAACTGTAAGACCAGATTCTTCAGCATCATTGTATGACTTGTTGGTAAATGTATATTGAAATTTACTTATATTCAGAATTAAAAGGGCTCATTGTTGTTTACGTATTTAAAATGTATCCTCCCCCTTCCTAAGCTGAAAGTACCCTTAATCCAAGCTTCAACTTTCAACTGATACATATCCTGCTTATGTGGGGCCAATTTAGTCTAGTGGTTAGGGTACCGGAGGATCCATGGCTCACGGCCCGTTACCTAAAAACTAGGGTCGTGGATGTGTTATGAGAGTGACAGTCAAATACATCCTTTGGAATTATGCTTTTATTGAAAATGTAACAGTGTAGTTTTTGTTATATTATTTTCTTAAAAAACACATGATTTACATATGAGCAAGAACGCTGATGTATTAAATAAATAAGGCATGGCAGCACCTGGTGGTTAGATCGCAAGTTCGAATCCCGTCACCGAACATGATCGCTCTTTCAGCAATGGGGCGTTATAATGTGACAATCATTCCACTTTTCGTTGGTAAAGAGTAGCCCAACAGTTGGCGGTGGGTGTTGTTGACTAATTGCTTCCTTCTAGTCCATCACTGCTAAATTAGAGATGAGTAGCGCGGGTAGTTTTGTGCGAAATTCAACAAGTAAATAAAAAAACAAGGAAATAATAGGCACAAGATTAACATTAGTATTTAGTGGATCTGCCTTTTGTTTTAAGGCAGAAAAATTGTTACACATCGTATTTACAAGATCTGAAACCTAGGATTTCATCACGCTTTTGACGATTAACTAGGATTAGAATATCCCTAGAAGTAACTTATTTAGGATGGGCCACTAAAGCTTAATAATATTCGTAGCCGCCAATTGGTGTAGTCTCGGGAGAGTAGTAATGACCTGACCTTCAAGCCATCGTTAAGTGGCTCCTACTGAATGTACAAGAGCATTGTAGATACTGTCTTGTCTTTTTTTTTCTGTCTTTATACTGTACCAGAGGTTTTTCTTTTCTTTTTGCCTAAATTTTTCTTTATTATTTACAACATTTAACTTTCAGGTTTGTGGTGCCCTCTGGTGATTGACAGTTAGGCCACTTTCTCTTCGCGTAGGAATCTATCTCCTGTTTTATTAGCCTTTTGCTCTAGCGGAAAATTCAAATTTTGCCGCCTGTTCCATGTTAGAGTCGAAAATGACAGTCATGAAAAAGATGGCGACTCCCACAGTCGAAGTTTGCAAGCGCAGTAAATTGTAACAAGAATCTCTCATGATGACGAGGAACCCACTTGAAGTATACATATGGGTATAGGAAACTTTTATTTGAAAAGCACGAAACAAGCAACGTTTCAACCTCTTTAAGTCATCATCAGGTTCAGAATGAGATTTGAAAGAGTGACTGTTATTGATCACGTGTCGTGGAGACGACAGTGATGATAGGTGTAAGATTATAGAGGGCGTTGTAAATATTTAAACTATTAAATGGTAGTTAACATTAAGGAATAATTAGTACAGATATAAAACCGTTCCTTGGTGCTGGTTTAATGTGGGTTTAAGTTATTGTATTAGAAGATGTTCCTTAACAAAAATATCTACTTTTCTTTTCAAGAAGTTATTAAACAAATGAAATGATTTATGGTAAACTTTCCGCTGGAAAAATTAATCAATATTCTGAAGCTTGAGGAAAATGGTCTTTTTCTCTCCTTATGATACATGAGTAATCACAAGAATAACAATAAATATCATTGAGGTTATGCGATAGAAAAAAAAAACATCCATAAAATAAAACCCATGATACTTTAACCTTTTGGGTATTGTCATCATTGTCTAGGCTCTTGCTGAAGGTGACATTTCGAATGTCAAATAAGAACTGGGAGTAGATCGATGTGACTCAGTAGTAAGTCTGAAAACCGAGTTTCGATATCTGAGAACTAAACAAATACAGCAACAACTAACTGAAATAAAGGATCTTAGCATTTGATATTTTAACCTAAACACCATATGCAATTCGTGGGCCGAACGGTCAGGTTAGTTGTTTTAACGCAAAGCTTTATACACTCTGGACCCCAACGATCCCAGAATTTTAGCGTTTTACGTTTGTAAACCTACCGCTGACCCACCGTGGGACGGCGAGGTCAGGGGTCCTTAAGCTTCAGGCACAGACATTTCAAATTTAGGGCTGCAGGTTAAAAGGAGAGTAACCAGCTAGCAGCAGTCGGTGCATATGTAACTATACTTTATCAAGTAGCGGGATTGACTGTCACGCTAATAACACTCCCATACCTGAAAGTTGAATATCGTGGCTCGAAGTTATTAACCAACAGGCCACGCCCGAAGTTTTGTAGCAAACTGTATAGTTACTGCATATTCTGGACTAAAGATCTGTGAACGAAGTATATTATTTAACGGTGAGTTACGTAGTAATAGAAGGTGTAGTGTTTCGTTTCGTTCTAGTTAGAGACGAGGTTTGTCTTTGTTTAATTATATTTCAGGCTAACAGGTGGCTTCTCATTTAATAGATATTTAATCCCTCTTTTGCACGGATTATTAAAATACGGTGGAAATTTATTTTATTTGAATGTCTTACTGAAATACGTCTATATTTCACAAAAACACATTTTTGTGAAATATATTTTAGTAGGTTATAAATGGGTAACATTGTTCAATTGAGGAACCAAACAACAAAAACAATTCCATGGTTTGTGTAGATTGTTACCTGGAAGTAAAATAATCCAATTACAGAATTGAAACATTTGTACGTGTATTAAGTAACAAAGATTAGTAACCTGTACGTTACAGTGTGTAATAAAATTATGACTTATTCAAAACGTGATGGCCCGGCATGGCCAGGTGGTAGGAGCGCTCGACTCGCAATCTGAGGGTCACGGGTTCGACTCCCCGTCACACCAAACATGCTCGCCCTTTCAGCCGTGGTGGTGTTATAATGTGACGGTCGATCTCACTATTCGTTGGTAAAAGAGTAGCCCAAGAGTTGTCGGTGGGTGGTGATGACTAGCTGCCTTCCCTCTAGTCCTTACACTGCTAAATTTTGGATGACTAGCGCAGATAACCCTCGTGTAGCTTTGCACGAAATTCATAACAAACAAAACGTGATTCGGTCACAAACGTTTGGTGCTAAAGGTGTTAAAGGGGAAAAATAATGTGATCATAATTTCAGAGACTGTTTACAGAGTACGAGATTTTGAGGAGAAACTGTAATATAGTTTTTAAACCTGATTTCTGTAACATCTACATAACGTTGCTTCTCGTGCGATCACAAACTACCCGTAGCACACCGAGGGTGTTATTGCCCCACGCATTTTCTTTAGAACAGACAGCTTTATTTTTGTACTTTTATTTACAATCCCTGATGTGTCATTAAAACGTAATTCCTCTTTACGCAAGGTGTTTCAGTTGTCATGGTAACGTCGGTAACGTCAAAGAGCTAGTGTAGATCAAGAATGTTAAACCTTTCAACTTGATCTGGGAAATATAATAAAAAAAGTACATGTAATTACTTCACACTAACTACTGAAAATATTTCTTTTAAACGTAATGACTGAAGAGGAAGCGCTAAGGGAAGAAATGTGACATAACTCATCTCGTGGACACTGATAGCATCATGTGATTTAAATCATCTCGTGGACACTGATAGCATCATGTGATTTAAATCATCTCGTGGACACTGACAGCATCATGTGACATAACTCATCTCGTGGACACTGATAGCATCATGTGACATAACTCATCTCGTGGACACTGATAGCATCATGTGACATAACTCATCTCGTGGACACTGATAGCATGATGTGACATAACTCATCTCGTGGACACTGATAGTATCATGTGACATAACTCATCTCGTGGACACTGATAGCATCATGTGACTTAACTCATCTCGTGGACACTGATAGCATCATGTGGTTTAACTCATCTTGTGGACACTGATAGCATCATGTGGTTTAACTCATCTTGTGGACACTGATAGCATCATGTGATTTAACTCAGCTCGTGGAC